GCCCAGAAAAAATTGAAAAAAGAAGCCAAAAAACAGAAAGGACCAAGAAGAGACCCCAGGCCCAGAAAAGGCAAAAGCCTAGAAAAGGTTGTAGTAGTGGAATTGTGGTAGAGGTGTTGATTGTATGTCATGTGTTAGGTGGGGAGCAGAAAAATTGAACAAGTGCGGGTCATGGGCATGAGAAGGAGCAATTGTGCAGCTCAGGAAGAGCGGCTACGACCCTGAGGGATTTCCCTACTGCCCATCTGACAAGCACAGCGAGCTGGAGCAGCTTACAACAGAGCTGGATATCGCAGCCTTCATTGAGAACCAGAGGTGCCGGCCCGTCACGGCGCAGTCCCCATCAGAGCGGAAGCAATGCCTAGAAGCAGGATGAAGCAAGAGAAGCCTCAAGAATTCTGAGCCAATCAGCCATACAGAGAGATTCAAAACCTTGCCAAGCAGGCCTGTGAATTGCTACATGCACTCAGAGTCCGATTATCAGCTTTACCAGTGGCTCTCAGCTGACACTCAGCAGCAGCTATTGCAGTCAGGCCTGGAAATGTAGGCGCTCAGGGATTGGGGTCAACTGTCAGGACACTGGCGGCATTGCCTACTTCGGCTATGCGTACTACACCACGTATGCAAATCAACTCACAGTCGCACGAATTGCCAGCGATGCTTTCAAAGGTGTCAAGGACTGGGCCCTTTCCTTTTGCTCCTGGTCGTAGGCCCTGGGCTCCTAAGAGAATGACTGAGCATGCGCGCATGAGACCCATCGGACAGCGGATGATGGTGTGCATGAAGTAGTTGCCCATTCTACACATATATAGTCCAAGGGCTCCAGGTCTGTATTTCACGGCCTTCCGTGAAGTTTCGCATACCAGCCGTCATGTTTTTGCAAAATAGCTTCAATATAAGCTTCTTTAGGACGCGTCTCATGATGTATGATGATAGAGGAAAGTGAAGAGGTGCCCAGGCCACTGCCCACCTCTCAGAAAGTCGCCTCTCCGAGAGATTCGACATGCCTCCAGCCCACCCTTTTGGCGAACTTGTTCAGTTTTGGTTATGGTGCCCAAGGAGCTTTGATACTTTTCGCTTCTCTTTGTATATTTTGAATAATGTTAGCTTTATCACGCCCAGCGAGGACACGGCAGATGCGAAGGTTGAGCCATCAACTTACACTATCACGGACGGCTCCTACAGCGTGTATAAGCGCCGGCTTTTCATGAACGTCGACAACGAGGACAAGGGCCCTCACAGCCTAAAATGGTGCCACCTGTTTCAAGCTGTTGCAATCCTCAAATGGAAAATCCCCTTTCTGCACGTTTGCCTTAACCTTGCGAGGCGTGGGATCGTGTGCACCCTTATCTCGCCTACGGCTTCAGTTCTGCTGGCCAGTCTCTGGTGGCTTCTGTAGGCTATGTTGCAGTCAACGCTGCCTTGCTCGCCAAGATGCAGATCAGGAACCTCAGACAGGTGTGTTAGGGGAGCTTGAGTTCCGCGGACCGGGGCACTGACGGGGCCTTCCGATGTTGAAAGTGCTTCAAAAAGGGCCTGCGTCTTTAAACCGCATAGCTGGCTGAGGATTGAAGAGCGTGGCAATGAGGAGGCTGACTATGTGTCGGTGGCCCCCTCCACTTGCCCTATCGGAACCGAGTTGAGTGCTGTCCCCTATGTCAATCAGCCCCTCGACTTCACTTAGCAGCATTCTGAGGTTGGCAGGAAGCAGAGGCGTTGCCTGAACCACCTCCTCCGTAATTCCACGAAGCTCCTGGACACATGTCGAAGGTTTGGCAACAACAAGATCAACTACACCTGCTCTGCGTGTTCACTTGGGACCTTCAAGTTTCTGGACACGCCGACTGCATGTGCGAGTTGTGAAGCTGGCCGGTACACAGACCAGGTGGGAAACAGGTTGGCAGGTGTTGAGGATGACATGAGTAAGGAGTGAGACTTCCAGGCTTCAATGGCATCCTCTGTTTCCGGACCTTGCATTATAAGCAACCCAGTACTGGCACTTGCGGCCCCCTGTGAAGGTCGGCCAGAGCTCTTGCCTCCTCTGTGAACCAGGCTATGAGTCAGTGAACGGAACTTTCTGTAGGGCCTGTGGGCCCGGGTCGCTTGGCTGGCTTTGGCTCAGGTGAAAGAAGGGTTCTGTATCGACGTTGTAGGAGTGTATGCGGCTCGCGAGATGGTTCTCTCATGACGCCCTGGGGATCATAGGCATCGCGCAGTCTACCTGAGCCATAATACTCTTCAAAACTGAGGGAATTTCTCTTCGGGAGATCTTGAAGTTGGGATTCTCAGGGCTTCAGCTTGGTAGCAATACTAAGTGGGGACAACCCTCATAAGAAGCAGATGAGTTTGCGCAAGCTTGTGGGACCACTGCTTGCGCATATTGACGCACATATCATGAGATCTTGTTATCCTTAATGAGAGGAGCCGTGCCCGACAAGTAGAATCCATGCATAGTTCCAACATGCTGAGGGTCCCTGAGAGTGACCTTGTTTTGACAATTCCAAATGTCAGGTCCTACAAGAGCGAGGCCGCTGCTGCTAGCTGCTCTCCTTGCATCGCCGGCAAGTTCAACAACCGGTCCGCCCAGGCATCGGGTCTGATCGTAAATGGTGGTGCTCTGCTGTTACTGCTGAGCAATAATGCCATATGCTTCACAACGCAGCAGCTCCTGACAGCCCGAATGCCACATTCTCAAGTGAAGAAATCCATTTGCGCGTCCCGTACTCCTGTCTGCTCCAGTTGGGTTGGTGTTCACGTTATTGCAGTGAGCTACGCTGCATGCTGCCAGCGCGTATGTTGCCACGTATGCCGAGCCCAGTCGGCTTAGCGAATATCCGGCCACTTTGCAGAAGCGTTGCGGCTACATAGCTCGCAGACACTTCTCAGCCAACTCTCAGCCAAACCAAGCTTCTTGTCGTCACGGCCTGTATGGAGCCTGAAGCCCAGCAGCCAGCATTTGACCGTACTGTCTCAGGCCGAGTGCGACTTCTGTCCTTCCGGCAAATTCGCACCAGAAGGCTCCACACAGCTCCTTGGCCCGATGGTGGGCTTCGGATACGCGGTGTTGGGCA